TCGCGCGTCGCTCCTCGTGAATCCTAATGAGCGAATAATCATGATCCCAACAAGGCGGTGCCATCGTTCTCAATCGCGTATTTAGGCCTAACTGAACAAGGGGCGGCAAAACCTGCTCTGGAAAGTGGGTAAAAGCCTCACGCAAGCCAATCCAGACAGAAAAATCGGCGTGATTCTGGACACCGTGTCATGATTTTTTTTCTCAATCTCACTCTCTTGACGCAAGGATTGCCGTCCAGTTTCTCAGATAATATCGATAAGAACCGAACGCTATCTTGAGCGTAAAAGTCGCAGAAACGGCTTCCTTCCTCATGGGCCCAATGAAGTAATGAGCTTTCACGTCCGCCGTTCCGCGAATATTCCAGGCGAAACTTTCGCTCAGGTCAGCTTGCATCGGGGAGCCACTCGAGTGAACTCAGGCCAAAGAGTTTTTTTCCTTGAAGACAAGCCTTGCACCATACCAAGATCTCGTGTAAGTGAAGCAAAAAGCTGGGGCCGCCGGAATGCAGGTAGCTCCTTCACATCACAACGATAGTCAAAATCGGAGAGAAACACTTTTCTGCTTGTAATATTCCTCCTCGAAATCTTCAGGTGCCTGTTTCGATGAGAAGTCCGCCACAATGGGAAGATGATTTTCTGTAAACGGAATGTATTGTCACATCCAGCCACGTGCGCAGGACATCCCCCAAGGCTGCCGAAAATTCTCCCAAGGAATCTGTCATGTGGTTTCTGTTTTGCCGTACTATCTTATGAGGTCGCTCGAGGAATGATTCCAGATTTGGATCCCAGCGAGACGTTCGAACATGTAAGTCATGGTCTCTCCCCGATGGGGAGAGTAAATTCGACCATCGAAATGACAGACATGGGACTTGAATTCGAGTTTCACCGCGCGGGTCCCTCCCAGAAGGGGTCCGTCTCAAACACCAATCCCCTTTGAGGTTGTATGTAATGGTATGGAAGCGAAAATTTTCGTGGGAACGGGGCCCGCGTCAAGAGGGATAGGCGAGCGCGAAGGCTGCGCGATTCGGGTATACGCAAACGAGTGACTGTTTCTCCGCCGCAGTCTCTCGAATCTCACCTTGGTCATTCTCGATCGAGAGAGTCACGAACGAGTCCTCCACGTCACCTTTGTGTGGGAAGGCGACGACATTTCGATAGGTACCTCCTCCACAATAGTCCTTGATCGAACCAGATATAAATAGATATTTGTTTACGAATACACGAGTAGTGTCGATAGTCAAGTGACTGAATGATTGGATTAATGAATGAGAGCAACCGAAAATTAATCTTAGTGGTCTGAAGCTTTGTGAGAAAACACTATTCATCGAGCTGGCTGATGAGCTCATCGACGCGCCCTCCTCTCGAAATTCGGAGGTCACCTCCTTTGGAGAGTACCATGAACAGTGCAAATCACGAAAATACGTCCGTCCTACAAAATCTCATACAGTCTTTCAACACAAAAGGCTCTTCCAGGGACCCTCGCGCTCATGTCCATGGTCACCGTCGTCGTCACACTGTAAAGTAGGCAGACGTCCGAGGACTTCCATAGACAGAATAAAATTTATTGGTCTCCGTTACCCTGTACACACCCTCCGACAATCGGTTTTGCTTCTCTTGTTTCTATCGCGCTCTATATTCTCTTTGCCCTTCATTCCGTCCTATACCATCCAACCCTCTAGCTTCCTCGCTGCGCTCATCCGCCGTTCTCCCGTGGTTCCTCCCTGGGATCCTCAATCGGTCATGGGCTGACTATGGATAAAGTTTCAAGCCCTCTTGATGGACGAGGCGACAGAATAGAGGATTCCACATCGGGTCGGCGCCGCCGCCGCTACCATCCGGGACAAGAGCACGTAACAGGCTGGTACGGGGACCTCGGCTCCGACGGAGAGGTAGCGGTCGATGGGGACATTTGGGGGAGAATCGCAGGGACACCTCGATAGTCGACTTCTCAGCCTTTCTTTGACTTTGTCGATGGTGAACGATCACGCTATCGAGGAAGTCCAGACAAGTGAATACTGATCAATGTTGCGAGGTGTTCCGAGAACCGGATCGCGCTGGAAAAATGGAAAGAGAACGCCCGGCCGTGAGGCTCCGTCGAGTTCGTAGGTGCCGAGGGTTCATGTTCTCGATCAGGCAACTTGGATGTCGAATGAGAAATAACTCCTTTCTCGCAAAACGTGAGTCGGGAGGATGATCTAAGAAGAATATCTCGGTCCACCTTATAGGATCTTCATTGATCTTTTAAGATTCCTGCTGTTCTAGGCTTCCACAGCTGATTCCCTCCTCCGAAATACCATAGGCTCAATGAATATTCGGGAATTTAATTCCCTCTGCGGAAAAATTATTCCACGAAAGGGCGCTGTCGCTCCCTCGATGTTTCTCGGGAAATATCGCAACTTTCGATTCGAGTCACGCTAGGAAAATGACACACATCGGCGAGATTGACAAAGCTTCGAACTTCCGGTGGACGACTGGCACCAGAGCTCGTTTTTGCCGTGCGTCGAGTCGTCAGCTTCTGAAAGGGTCGATTGCTTTCGATTATGCGCGTCCTGCGGATTATCGCGCCTAGCAAGAATGGTGTCAAGCATCCTCGATCTCATTGATTGTCAGAAGCGGCAGTTGCTGGGAGCAGGGCGCGCGGCCTCAGGAAGCCTGTGAGGTGGATTCTGGTTACGTCACCAATGCATAGCAATTGAGTTGTTCTGAAAAAACATTCTTGCACTAGACGTCGTGTTGCGGCCGAGCATCCGTGGAGCAGAGTATTGGGGTTGCGGAGCACCGATAGTGGCCGCGGCCTGGTTCGTTGTATCGTTTGTTGGGGAATACGGTAGTGTCCGAAAAAGGAACTGAGCGACCAATCGTTGGGGCTTTTCCAAGGAACAGGACTCTATATGGTGCCCGACGTGGGCCTCGTGAGCGCACATGCCAGTTTATCATGTGAAAGAAGCAATCGTACATTGACAGAAATGTGTGGCGAGATGGACTGTTTTCTAATCGCGGAAGGGGAGCTAATGGAAAGCACACGTACGGAAGCCATATACTGTAGGATGGGTATTAGAGGAACCGGACGCCATCGGGTAGACTGTAGACTCGTGGACTACGGATTTCATTCTGTTCCAATTATTCTATGCCTGACGCTGGGGTTGCTAGCATGGTGCTACGAGAAGATCGATGAGTACCTAACCCTATCGTGAGCGTTTCAGTCGGAAGAATCGCAACACATCGGCTAAATGAAGTAATGAGGTTCCACGCCCGCTCCGTGAATATTCAAGGAAAAGTTTCGCTCACTCAGGTCACCCTGCGACTCGGGGGAAGCCACTCGAATGAACTCAGGCAAAGGAGTTTTTCTCCTGCGTACAAACCTCACTCCTTACCATAATCTCCCACAAACGGAGCAAAAAGCTGCAGTCGACGGAAAACAGGTGATTGTCTGTCCCCGATGCCTCCTGTCCGATTTCAGGTGTCGGCCCAGGACAGCAGGTTCCCACGGTGAGAAGATGATTTTCTGATGACGGAATCTCTTGTAACAACTTCGACTATGATTCCATTCTGGATATGACCGTACCCCTCGTGGGAGCACCCGTGCGAGTGTTATTCAGACAAAAAGACTTTCACAGAAGTCGAGGCAGATCTCTCCTCGATCTGACGAAAGTGATGGTTCTTTGTCACAGGACGGAGCCAAGCAAGTCCATTCGGAACAGACATTCGCTACGACACCCGAGACATTTCCACAGATGAATAGTCACTGGAAGGATGAGAAAATTATATCCGTATATTGTTCGAGCCTGAATTACGAATTCATATCGGAGCCCTTCACAATGAGTCAGGCTTATCGAATCTACTCGTTCCCGAAGAATTCTTCTATGCGTATGTCTCGCTGGCGCGAATCACGGGCGGGAGGCCGGTGGAATTCCCCATCCCTTGCTTTTCGGACCGCTTGAGGCATCCAGAGAATCCGGCGTGACCCGCGGTGAAAGAAACAGAAAGAAACGGACCTAGTTCCCGGTCAGTCCTCTAGGTATTGGTCATCGCTTTGACGCCTTCTGATCGTAAGCGGAGACTATTTCGGAACGGGAACAGATTCGATGGATCGGTTGACCCGAAACTCGTCCAGTTCCTGATTCTAGCGGTCGGATCGCGCTGTGGTGATTCACTGCTCTTATCCGGCTGTCCCCGGTTGAACCCTTCCAGAATTTTTCCCTCTCACAAGCCCCGTGGCGACTGAGGTCAGGCAAGCGGAATGAATTTATCGCTTCGTGGACCGTAATTTCGCTTTTATTTCACAGTACATAGTCCTTCTCAGGAGCTGGCATTCTGGTCGGGGGAAAACAATCAATAAATACTAAAACTACTCGTTCGGGAAAGAACTTTCCAATCTGTATCTTCGTTGGGAAGCTATGCCGTGTCAGTGCGATAATCGTGGGAGAGGGGGGGGCGGTGGCTGTGAGAACTCTGTATAAGTGTAATAGATCTCGATAACTGATTTAAAGACCTTCGTTGCTGATTTGTGGTGCTTCGGTGTTGCCACAGATTTGTTAGAGTCATAGATTGTTTTGGTACGTAAGGGCTCGAGCCCGAATCGTCGCTGAGGTTCACCTCGCGATGAGCCGGAAGTCCGACACGGATGAGGCTGCTCGCTCCTTAACGCTCGATTTTAGGGGATGCCCCACATCTTGTAATTGGACAACAGGATTGTGGACGGATTGGTCAGCCACCTGTGACGCCATCGCACAGAATTTGTAGTTTTTCGTTCTAGACAACTTCCGAGCAGCCTTGCTCGCCCCGCTGAACGAGGTTCCGCTTGAGTGCGAAGACAACGGTGGCCATGGAGATGAGCCGGAGGGTCCGTGAGTGAGCATTTTGTCTTAAAACGAAATCTCAGACGATTGGACGATTCGTTTGGAATATCCATGAAACTCTCTGAAGTAGATTACATCTGAATTACGGAGGGAGGGCGCGACGATGAAATCATCGGCGAGCTTGTGAAATCGGGTTTCCTCACAAGTTTTGGGCCTCACAAAGTCTGAGCGAGCGTTGCAGCTCTGGTACAACGCTCAACATGTTTCTCTCATTCAATACGAGAGAAACATGTTCGATGTTGATGAGGTGGAAATGAGCACGTAGAAGACTAGAAAGCTCGGCTGAATTATAGCGAGCACGACGACACCGATCCGTTGACTAGAGTGAGAATATGTCGTTGATATTGTCCTTCTTTCCCGCGAGACGGATCTCCTTGAGGTCTCTGACGACCTGATAAGCTCGCGACGGATTGTTCGTCATCACACCATCGATGCCAAGATCTATGAGCTGTCGGATGTGTCCCTTGTAATCGACAGTCCAACGATACACCTACGATGGAATGAGGACACAATTATTCAGTCTCATCCTGGAGGTCCCATACCGCATGCCCATGACCTCTTGAATCTGTAGTGAATCGCTCATCCACTGCGTCTCCGAAAATCCGCTCACCTTCTTGATGTAAACGTTGCCTTGGTCTCTGAGCTCGACCGCATCACGTACTCTGGAGAAGCCCCGGAAGGGCTCGAACCTTAAAATCGGAGAAGGAAACGTCGCTCAATGTTTGGCCTTCACGAGTAGCGAGCGACAAGTCTTCCTGTTCTCATTCACTCATCCAGTCACTCAACTGATGATCTCGCACATTTGTGTGTACAAATATCACTCTATCTATTCGAGGACTAATATTTGGAAGGAAGTACCAATTGGTCACGCCGTCGCCTTGCCACGCAGAGGTGACGTTGAGATCGCGAAACATCTTCCCCACAACGCTGAAATCTGGGTTTTCCGAGACGTCGTAGGAGATCTTAGATAGCTGCTCGGGTTTCAATGACTTCATCTTCTCGATGAAGGACGCGAGGAGCTGTTTCTCCGTCACATACGGCACCGACAGGACAACATTTGTTTGTTGACCGCCCTTATCGAAGAAGTGCCCTGACAGCTTGAGAGCGAGGTCGACTCCGGCGAATTCTTTCGCTTCTGGACTGAGTTTGTAACTTTTGAGATCGAGGAAGATCAGAGTGATATTTCGAGTAGCTGCGGCTTGGAGATAGTCGACCAATTGGGTAGACTCGTGACAAACTCGAAAGTAGTCGCAGGGAACTCCGTGATGAACCCACCAAGCCGCTCCGTTCGGTTCGAACGTCACATCGAGCTCCACAGCGTTCGCGCCCTCTCTGAGGAACAAATCCATCGTTGGAATGGAGTTCGCCATGTGGGCGATTATATAGAACGGTCTCCGTATATCGCCGGAGCGTTCGTCGGTAATTCTTCCCGAGACGAGTTGCAAGCTCGCGAGGAAAATTGCAGCACCTAATCGAGTCATCATCGCGACACTTGGCTAGAGTTCGATCTCTTCTGAGTTTTCTTTGGTTCTTTAGCGATTTGGTTCTTCGAGTACTTCTGCTGATGAGGCGGTCTCACTGCGGCCACTTTCTTCACACACGGTTAATCCGGGAAGTTCCCCTCGATTCCAGGGCTCGCTCAACTCAGTTCACTCGACTTCACAAAGGGCTGAGCTGCCATATCCCAGGTGATCGAACGAATGAACGACAGCACGCACGCAGCCACCGCGAAGTGAAAAACCTCCTCCATCAACGACGTCGGTCGCTACAGATCCGCGAAAAGGGGAGCCTCCTCTACTGGTCGTCGTCAGCCACGACACCTCTCCCTTCACGGAGAGGCGAGCGCGCGTTTGATCATCGGCATCTATCAAGCCGACCGACCGATGACCGAACAAGCAAGCGAGCGGCGAGCTGCGTGCCAAGCGAGAGGCAGCTTGCCAAGCGATCCACGCCAACGACAACACGGTACCAGGCCAATGCTTCTTTTTCTTCGGTGCAGATTGTCGTCAGCTCCACGGTCACGGCTCGGCCAGAGGAAGCGTTCGGACTGCGGCATTGCGCTATCGATCGCCGACTCGCGACCGGTCTTGCCTTCGATACCTCCGCTCCATTTCATGCTACAGAGCAGGTAGTAGATCGGAGAGAGCTCCTCCACTCAGGTGAAGCCGTTTTCTGAGAGCATTTCGCGAGTATTCTCGGCATATTCGGGGCCGAGGTAAGGTATGCGGATCGAGGTAAGTCTCGACCGAACCCAGCCGAACGTTCTGCGAATTCTGACGCATATCCCACTCGGAGCCAGTTTCTAGTAATGGCAGGAGGATTCTCCACCTTTTCCACCCCCGTGAAGTTGGGAACCCCCGAGAGCATTCCCAGGGGATGAGGGTACGGGCGATGCCTTTGCTCGCGTGAGCCCGGACGATACACGTTGGCTATCCATGGGGACATGATTGCAACCCCACCGCGTCCCGCCTGTCTGTTCCCGCGGCAGCCAATATTTTTCAATATGAGAACTTCCGACTAATCACTGATCTATCCGACCTGGATGGTGGAACAGGTGGCTGAAATACTGAGGGTCGATCGGCGACCGAGCATCAGGGGCGGAGCAATAATTCGGGAGCCATGTCCACCAGAATACTAGATTGACTTGAGACGTGCTGAGACCCGCAAAATGTTCTCGAGATTAGATTTACGCCCCACATGCCCCAGACCAGTGGTTCCCGAACTTTTTCTTCCCGGAACCCCTAGGGGTTCCGCAGAGGTTCCGCAGGTAGACTTTAGGGTTCCGCGCAATCCGCCACGGAACACAAGGGTTCCGCGGAACCCCGTTCGGGAACCTCTGCCCCAGACTAGGGGGAGGCAAGGCATGACATGCAACTGTTCGCGCGCTGTTGAAGTACCGAATGGAATATGAAGGAAGCGGGTGAGACTTACAAGGTGTTGTACCATACCCCGGGCGCCATCAAATTCATCGATGAAAGAAATTGTCGCGCCGATATCTCACCAATCGAAGCTTCTTGTCGATGGACTCGAGCCGGAAGACATCTACGAACTGTAGGAGATCCGAAACTCCGCTCACGGGGCTTCTCGTCGATGTTTGATGGACTCTCGGAAAGTCGAGTCCGCCGCTAGTTCTGAGCACTCAACTCCGCTCGGAAGATGGGATATGAGCTCTACTCAAGCCGAGAGGACTCCTTGAACTACATATAGTCTAATATCGAAGTTATCGCGGCAGAACCTCACCACTCATCATAATCACGGGATTTCCCCCATCTGCCCATAATCAGTTGAATTCGAAAACGCGATAATTCTCCGCGGACATGGAGTTTGGATGAGGCTACCATGGCGCCCCTCCGCATCTCCTTCGAGGCACTTTTCGGGGAATTCCCTCGACATGCGGTGACTTTCTCTCCCGAGAGGTGACCAGTCCGTGAATCGTCTCAATAGACCGAGACACCCGATACCGCTCGCAAGATTCGTTCACACTTCCGATGATTTTACTGCGGGGTAACAGTGTTCCAGACTGGGGAGCCGCTGGATCTCCCTAGAAAGAATGATCCAGTCTATCACTCGCGAGTATCAGGTTTCTCAGAAATCTGGATCTTCCAAGCAGAAAGCACACTACAAGGACAGCTCCACAGTGACGGCTTCCGAGCAAGCGAGCATAATAAATGCTGTGTCTCATGTCAGAATCAAGCGCCTCCACATCGTAGATCGAGACAGAAGGCTAATTCGGAGGCGAAGGAATTTTCAGAAAAAGTATATTTGCCCATCTGCATCGATCGAACACAGCTCGTGCGGTCAGGTGGTACATGTGACACCGTTCCGCCCCGGGGGTAGAGCTTCGGATCTCTGCCGGACTGCGAGGAGAAAGCGGAAACTGCACAAGGTCGTTTCGAAACTGTGATAGACTGATGATGCGTCAGACGGGCCTCTGATTAGGTCTCCGATGTCTGGATTCGAAATCGAGATTGCTTCACTGGCTGGTTCCAGGCGATGGGACGAGCTGTCACTACTATTCCCGCTTTCACCGAAAGGTAATCCAATACAAAGCGAACAAAGTCGTTTCCTGTGTTCCATTCGAGCGACTCCTACCACTACGCGCTTTGTCGTCCTCACTCGATTTGTCGCGAAATATATTCTAAGCAGAACGAGCTGAAAAATGGAAAACGTATCCACCATATTCCGGCCATTCTGGGTGCAGATTTCTGGAGGAGTGCGCTCTAGAACGGAGTCATCACGAACGGCGGTATCCCTCCCAGGGAACCTCAGTATACGCGGTCTCATTTTCAGCTGACGATAACTTGCCGAGGCGATGAAGTATCGGAGACAGCTCAGACGGCGTCGACGACAGAACTTTCAGGAACAGTCACGCCGAAGACATACAAGGATAGATATACGATGAGAGATTTTAGGCAGATCTCTGTCTATCTGACGGCCTGAAGCGATTCCGAAAGGCGCACTTGGTGAGGATTATACCTTCCCGGAAGGAAACTCGAATAAACACGGGAAACCTCCGGAGTGTTCATTTTCCATATCCTTTACAGTGGGATCGAGGGAGACACATGTGGATATCGTCTGTAAAGGGCGCGAGAGGTACGCGATGCAGCTTTTGACAAAAATCTCAGCGATGACTCTCCTAGCCGGGAAGCTGTCCCGGTGTTGGAGCAAACTGGTTTCTCGGGACCTATAGGGAAGCGGGTCGGTATAGAACAGTGGAGCAGGCACTATCTGTTTGTATTCCGTCTGTAATAAGTTTTCTTCCATCCGTCGAAACATCAGATGACTAAAGGACTGAGGGTCCTAGATGATCCATTGCACACCGTATTGCTATCGATCGTATCTGCTCGGAATGAGAGCCGCAGCAACAAGATATTTCTTCCTCCCAGGATACTTTCGGAGCGATGATTACGACACAATTTCTCAGAATGCATCGGTCGCGATGAGAGAACCTCATCTGTGTTATATAAAGCGAAGTCTACGAGACCTCAGCGATGCGAATCGTTCCTGTGGGGTATGTGAACTGCCAAACCTTGAGGTTCCCCGATCGAACCGCTCTCATCCGAGACTGAAGTCGATTCTCTCCCTGAAACCATGCTGGACCCCCTCCATGACCCTTGGGAAGATTTTGAGTTTCTGATACTGTAGCGATTCCCGGTGTATCATTCCCATATTCTCGAACTTCGTCCGAGACCTGAAACCAGAATGGAGGTATTTTTTTTTCTTTCGTTGAAAAAAGGCCCATCAGCTCATCTATTTTTCTAAAAGGGGCTCCCTGTGCTTCTCCGGGTGGTCTCTCGCGTTCGGGCATCCCCGGAACGAAGATGCCGGTCTCGCCGAACCAGAGCTTAATCTCGGGACTCGCTAGGGGGAGTATCAGGCGGATCGACATGTTCATTGCGGGAAGGCTCGAGCGATCGCCGGATGCGGTCCGACCGGAGGAGTTGCCTTCAAGTAGATGTCTGTTCTAGGAATGCTCCTCCACACCCTGCAAGGAAGATGTCCCCGAGCAGGGCAACCGTGAAGAACTCGGATAGTCTCGAGAGCCGCCTTCGGCCGACATGTCTGAAATAACATAGATCGCCACACCGCATGGGGAGAGCCGTCGCTCTCTCCGCAGTCCGCAGATTCTGCCCCGAATGTTCGCTTCCTTTTCCCCAATAGGCATCAAATATCTTGCTCGAATCGATTTGCGAGTCCCCCTTGGGAAAGAGGTTTGATTCGATCCAAACATGGACGAGCGAGACGCAGCGCCAGTGCACCTCCCACCAGAAATCTCAGCGTTCGAGCTATCAGTTTACAATCCAATTTTGGAATGAATAGGCTGAATTCTCATCATATCCACACCGAGGAAGCAGGAGCCCATGCACGGCCACAGAAACGTGGTACTCGCGCTCGCCAATTTTCGCCCGAAGTCTAATTAGCGGAACGGTGGATGAGGATTTGGGGAATCAAAATACGTTTTGCATCACCCACTTCAGAAACAGCTGGGTACCGGAAGCGCGATCCGCTGACGGAGTCGTGGAGTCCACAGCTGACGGAGACGGTGTTCGGGAATCGGCTTTCGTCGACGTCGACGGAATCCACCTGACATACGTATGCCCCTGCAGGCAGTCGTCTGAGCTCGATTGTAAGCCTTTTTTTCTCCGCTCACTTTCGCCTCCCTCGCTGCGCTAAGCGGTTATTCGACGGCCGGCTGCTGGTCTCGCCGGTTGACGCGCGGAAAGCGGAGGAATGCAAAATTAAAAATAACTCTGCTCAACCAGCTTGCACACCGCTCGTTCCTCTTTCGCAGAGGGGAACCCTCCTCCCGGGTGGCATCGCATTCCCCCTCGACCAGGACGTGTGCGTTTTCCTGCCGATTCGGAGTTCCCTTGGGCGAGCGAGACAGACGGGCCGACAAAAAGCTGATTCCTCCCGTCGAAGCAGAAAGGGCCTCAAATCGAAATCGGTGGAAATTCTTCGCTCTTCAACATTTCGTTGGAGCGCCGGGACTTATTGCCTCGACGACACGCGGGTCTTTGTGGCCCATTACAATGGCGGCAAGGCGAAAAATTCGGCAGTCGTTCGAGTGTTTTAGTACTTCCTAGCCTACGAGCGAAAATCTCAAAGTCTCGTCGCTCCGTGACAGTCGAGGTCCCCCTGTCAATACTCTCACGGGAGCGCTTCTTAGCCTTCCGAAGGTTTTACGCAGGAATGGAGCGTCGATTGGCCAGCGAGTGTCTGCTCTAACGGTTGCTAGCGGCGCTGACACCGACTCGGCACTTCTGATTTCAATTTTTCCCCCTCTGAGAAAGATGGTTGAGGTCTGAAATTAATTTTCCAGGAGTTCGCGCTGAGCGGAGGTACAAGAATCGGAGGAAGGGAAACGCTGTCTGTCCTGTATTCAAGGACTGATCGGCGCTTCGTCTATCGAGCAGACGGAGAGCCCTCAGGGCTAGGGTATTCAGGTTCAACAGGCGGGTTCGCGGGGAATCGTCGTTTCTTCTTTCCTCCAAGCCTCATACCCGAAACCACGCAGAAGTCACGGGCGCTTCTCCTTTCCCCATTTCCGTGTTCTACTGCTCTTTTCTAGTGGGCTGATCGAATTTCGCTCGACGCATACCTCCCAATCATAGAGTTGCCCGAGGCGGTTATCCGACATGCGCGCCGACTGACAGAAACAGGGACATATGCAGGTACGCGCGGAGACCGTGAAGCGCATGGAGAAACCCGTGCCTTCGGATCCCATTGATGAACCGGGAAATGGCGCCACGATCCGCGATATACCTTGAATCGAATCGAACTTCAATGGTCGGAAGATTTTACCTTTCCGTTCCTGGCATTGGGGGCTTGCGAACGCATGACTTTGCGTTGAATCATGAACGTCTAGATGTGGATGTTCAATGGATCTGGTGCTCAGCCGACGATAAGCTGTGCGATGCGTGGTCCCGGGTATCTTCGGATTTGGAGAATGGAGTTGTTCCCTGACTGAGTTCACCGAGTTCGAAGAGCATGACGTCTCTCCCAAATGAACAGTATTCTTCTCCATGGGGCTCCATGAGGCCCTCCAGCACACAATTCTCCGACTGACCGACCTCGATACCATGGGAAGTTAAATTCGCGGATTCGACGTCGGGAGCGAAGGCTTGAGCTCCACTGAGCGAAGGGTCAATCGCTACGACGACAGAGTAGACGAGACAGTTGATGACGTCTGCGTCTGCTTATCGAGCTGCGGCTCCTATTGGAGATTGTACTGGTATTATACTTATACCTGTTGTTATCTCATACCGCGAACCAGCTCCTCTCTCTGCTCGCTCACGGAGTTCAAGAAAATCCCGGAGAGGTTTGGTTGAAAGCAGCAAGTTTATATTTCGCGAAGGTGAGCCTCTGGAAATTCGCTTCAGTGGACCCGCACCTGAAAATTTCGTGCACTCAACTATTTGAAGCAGCATGTCGTCGACATGGCATTCATCTGACAATTCATTTCTCTCAGGACGCCGAGTCTCCGTCTTTTTTGTGACTTTCTGAGCTTGGCTGAGGTGGTAGCGAGTCTGTCACCCCTCCCGGAAATGTCGTTCCCGGTGGAAAGCATTTACATAAAACCATCCACGGAACGAGAGCCACGAAGATCTTTCCGATCCCAACCCTATCACATACCGGACGCTCCAGCGAAGAGGAACCCCGCTTTCGACCGGAGTCCGAATCCATTATGAGCCGCCTGAGGAGCTCTTCTTGCCGGGGTTCCTGTGTATCTTCAAAATATATGACATCAGTCTCAACTCTCTCTGGAAGTAAACTTCACCACCAAAGCTAGCCCACGATCGTTGGATATCTATGTAGGTAGATGTGGGTGCTTGCCCATGGAGCGCCGACTCGCAACCCCGGTCACTGAGAGCTCAGAAATTCCGGACGGTCGATGCCTTGACGACGGATCAGGTGAGGGATGTTGGATATGAGAAGCGTACACTTGCGAGAAGAGTCGGGTTGGGTAGTCCACTCACTCAGCTTGTGAAGGAATGACAGGATCGCGAAGGAAGCCGCAACAGGATGAGCTCGGAGCCGATAGAGACCTGCGAAATGGCCAGCAATTGTTTCATGAGAGATTTTTTGGAAACTCTCGGGGCTCGATACCTGCTCTCCACTCCCGAGCGGGCGTCTACGGACAGATCTCCGCCCTGCCTCTGCTTGAGCAATTTTCTCATGCCACTTCCCCAGTTCCTGGGGAGGTACTGCATGCGAGATTCTCCATCCATGGAGGAAGTGGCGATCTGTTATCATTTCCCCAATATCCGCGCGGTAGAGTCTCGGACCGTGCATTCGGAGAGGAGGAATCTCATGAATCGAATAGGACCTTGTAGCTTGGAGGATGGGGGATGAAGTTGATGGGTTTGAGTTTTCCGCGAAAGGTTCAGCACGCGGAGGGAGGTTTCGTCGAATCGAGAGGGACCCAGAACATTAAATCGATGTAAAATCCTCGACCGAGGCGCTCCCGTGGAATCCGACAGGTGTATGTCACTGTCTCAAAGCTTGTTCACGGATCACATTTGTCGTCTCGATCGACATTCATACACAACCATCATCCTAGAAATGCAAAAAACCTAGCACTCTTTCTGCAACGCAAATGATCCCGCACAACTCGCTCGATTCCGCGGGGGCCATGCGTGAGATGATCGAGTTGGCCACGACACACGGTAGGTGAGGATCGAATAGGGTTTCTCTACATGAAGAATTTCGCCCCGGCGCTTGCGGAATTCAAGAATCAAAAGTCTGGCAGGGGGAATCATGAGTCGCGGACTGGAAACTCGGCCGACTCGATTGCCCGCTCCAGTGAGTTACGAACATCCCCTGGATGCTCCCGGACCCGGCGTTCCGGGAAGGAGAATACGTACGCTAGTTTTGCGTGACGAGAATACGCGATCAGTCCCGCAGGTCACGGCGGATACTGTGCCAGACGTGATTCCTAAATATTTGAGTCAGTCGAGCGAATGCTCCCTGTCGGGCACGAAACTCGACGCTCTCTTAGACTTGAATTGAGAAAGAGCAGCGCTTATTCGATTAGATTGTCATATACAAAGCATGTTTATTCAAAGCGATTCGTGGCAGTCGCTACGCCGATGATCTCGATGGCACCCTGGACCCTGAATGCGCAAAGAGTCCGAGTACCGAAATCGAGAAACCGGGCATCCAAACGTTTCCCTTGGGTCACAATTTATGAAACGCTTTTCATTCACACGAAGCCAGTCATCACAGTCAGGAAACGAGAATACATTCCTTTAGCTTATGCTTTCAAAGCCGCTTCGACATCCGGTAGAAGCTCTGAAGGATCGACGGACGCATGATACCTGTTCGAGAGCAAACAATCACAGCTTGAGATCTCCTGAACTGACTCGGGGACTTGTCGAGGGGAGAGGTCCGAGACGTCTTGTACGTTTGAGGGAAGCCTATATCGTCACTCAGAAGGGGCCTATGTATATTCAGATTCGCAACGTCTAGTAAAAGAAACAAACCTCTTGATTGGTTTTCCGTTCCGCCCGACTAAGATCTTCTCGAAATTCCACCGAATATCCGACGAATGGAAGGTGTCGTAGTTCAAGCGATGCTTTTTGCTGAAGCCTTTCTGAGGGGATTCTGGACAGGCTGTCTGTGGAAGCGCGGATCCAGTTTTAGAAATTTTCTGACAAAACTCAAAGTTTCCTATTACTGACTCGCCCTCAAAAATAACGAAAAGCTCACTTTGAGGTATTGATACAGCTCATGTCCAGTGTCGCCGTTCACGTCGACTTTCGTGGTCATCGGGAACGACGGCTTGAAACCGTTCCCGGGACGTACGAATTCTAGTCCATTTAGAATTTCATGTTTATTACCAGGTTCTTGCTGCAGAGAGAGAAGAGAGACTGTTGTTCCTGCGTATCTCATGGTTTCTATCATGGGGTAAGAAGTCTGCATGCCCGAGCTCCTCGGTTTGATACTCACGAGACCAAACTGATTACTGGGGATAGCTAAGAGAGAAAAGTTCTGGGAAACATAGTTCTGATGGAGCGCATTCAAGGCAGGGTATTGATAGGTGTACCCTCAGTAAGTCGCCACATTGACAACGAGGACGACTTTGTTCCGGAAGGAGGCGAGATTGATTGTTTCTTCGCCGAGGACATCCTGGAGTTTGTATTCATATATGTTGCCGTCCACTGGAAGAAAATGTCGAGTGTCGTACTGTTTCCGAGCGGTCTAGCAGCCAGAAGAATCAGAAGATTTTCTCTGAGGGAGATTTCTACACTGCCTGAATGAATTGGAAGACAGGCAGATCTTTCCACTTTTTCTCGGAGCGACCAGGCACTGAACGTCGAGTGATGCCAAAAGAATCGATCACGAGAGAGAGAGAAAGAAGACGTATGAACGTCTAGGCTCTAGACGGTTCCAGGATAGATATTGTTCCGAAAGAACAGATAGTCTATCCGTCAAAGGGAATGCCTCTTTCTAGACGAGACATTTACGTATGCGCGTATCTCATGCCCGCTCTACAGAGAAAGCAAGGACGACCGAGAGAGTGATATGACGGCAAGATATCGCACAATCGATGCAGAAGGGTGAACGCCAATTTTGTGCGCTCACGATAGCGATGTGTTCACAGGGGAAATTTCGAGTATTCCTCGGACGAGTTGCTTACCTGGCACACAATTCGTTGCAGCGGATCGGTTATAGGAAGCGTTGGCGAATGCCGCACTCAGCAACAGGAGTAAGGGCTTCATTGTCGCCGCTGGAAGTTTCGTGAAATGGTTCCTAAGTCCACAGTATTCGTGGTATGCCTATTCCTCACTCAGACAAGAGACCCTCGCTTCGATTTCGATCCAAGTCCGATTGAGGAAAATATTATTGAGTCGTTGCGTTCGCTGCCTCATCCGTGGGAGGCAAGATGGGGATTCCCGTCCTGATATCCGCTGATCAGGATTCGACAAACTCAGGAACAATCATTGATAGCATTCTGGCCGAGAAACTCGATTACGTTGTATATCTTGAACCGACAGTGGAACTCGAGAGGAATGCTCAAGGACGTGAACTCATTCGTAACTGGGTCGTTCTTCTGGACCGGTAGTGAATCAAAATTACATCATACAGTATCGGGTGTATCCTAACAACGCAAAAAAAGTTCGCTGGTTTGTCGTCGTCCGCGCCGCCAGAAACGTTTGGAAAAAAACTGCTACGGGAGTCGTCAGACCTGTCGACCATCCCCTTCTCCTCCGATTCTTCAATCGAAATGGAATACGTTCTTCGCCATAGTAAAGTTTGTCGGGAACAATCTGCCATCGGGATCCCGGATAAAATACTGCAGACCTGAATGAGATCGTTGAAGGATCTCGAAGGAACACAAATCTCACGTCTCTGATTGAGTATCTCGAATAGAGACCTAACATCGCAGAACGTCGGACCATACACGGCACTCACCTTGAGAACTGCGCGAACGATTCGACGTTGACGGAGGCAAACGCGCTTTTAAGAAGAGAAAGACCAAAAAACCCTCACCAGCGTACCGTCGCCGAAGCCGAGGGCAGGTATCGCAGGCCAACGCCACTGCTCTGCAGTCTCTCACCTGGGACACATTCGAGATGAGCGTGCACGTGCTGCCGCTCCTTCGGAATTTCGCCGTTATTGTATCCGACGTACGAATCGGGTGCCAGATTGAACTAGCTGATTGATGGCTCTTTCCGATCAGATCTCTTCTGTATTACATGAATGAATGGCCCGAGCGTCAGGTAGTGTGCCGTGGCAGGGAGATCAAGTAGTGGGCCCAGATACGTTTTGCCTACTATACATTCCCGTACAAGCCTCCGAGTGAAACCGGGAAGAAAAAACTGTAACTCCGGAGCTCTATGAAGCCCGTAAAGGTCACTCGATGTCCTCGGTATCCTGTTGATGATAATCCGGAGCCTCTGATCCAGTCTGTCTGATTTTAGGTCTCTATTCTCGATTGACCGACTGGATGAGAGAAACTTCAATTATGGCCCTTCGGACCCTCGATCTGATCGGCTGAAGATTCACATCGGATCACTGTGTGCCAGTGGGGGGAATGTTTTTGAAGTTGATTTGAATAAGGTCGGGATGACACCTTCAGATGGAGAGCGAATCATTGGATTGAAAATATATCATTGTCTCTTTATTGTTTCTTTTCCAAGGCTTGTCCGCATCCATTCTGTCTGGTGGCCATTCAGGTGGGAATGTTTCACTTTCTTCCATCGGAAATACTGTCAACAAAACATAGACCAAAGCTGGCTGGCCCGTGAGGCGAACGAATACATTCCGCTCATCCGAGCATTTCAATAATGCTATTCATCGACCTATACCATGCTACAGCTTCCTAATATAAGGTATGCGTATTCGATTCAGCTCATCGAATTCGTGGTGATGACCACCTGCTCGAGAAACCAGGACCCATTGGTCAAACAGTATTTGTACCAAATATTGAGATTAACAATCGAGGTACGCTCACAAAAATTCACGTCACAAACGGCGTCGACTCAACAATAGCAGCGGACGTTCGTGATCAGAAATAAATAACGCGGTAAATCATGCCGGTCCTGATCCATCTAGTTATAGGTACACGTGATGAATATATATGTAATCCTTATCTCTGCCGATTAGCCGGTCAGATCTGAGGTTGACGTTTCTAGGCTTTGCGACTAGGCAACTCTTGATTAGATTGGGTTGGGTCGGTGGAGGCGGCGTTCACGTAGTTCAGTTTATGGTGAACGAAGGGTGGACCGCAACGTAATTCGTATTCTGAATGGTTGCTGCGGCCGCGGCTGCTCAATCTTCCCCGATTATAAATCTTTGGCTTGATCTGGAGTTCCGAGCGCTGCTCCCTCTTGTTCTTGACTAAATATCAGCTATTGCACCCTCAGCGTGTTTCAATAGCGTGTGCATTTGTCCTCTATGCATGGTGATGAGATGAGAAACACTCTCTTTATATAACTCTCTGTCGTTCCTCGAACCGACTCCCTCCGACGTCAGTTGGAATTGCTCGACCGGACGGAAAATCCTCCGACGAGTCCAGGCGTAGGAAAAATGATCGTCGTGCTAGCACAAACTCGATAATGTAGAGGTCACTCCTTAAATATACTCATATGTATATATATGTATATATAAACTCTCTTCTTCATATACTCTTCAAATAGTAAGTACTGAGAAGTACTGTCTGATGGAACGTTTGACGCCGCGAGGGCGAAGGTGGGTTAGATTGCCTAAATCGTTCTCCGAACAACTTAGGGGAGATGCGCGCACGATGAGTGAGTACTTGCAATTGCACAAACCGGAATGGATCTTTGGTAGGGTCGCGGAGGGGGAGACGACCGATCGCGATCGAGCCCCCCGAACATGCATCGGGCCTCCGCATGCCTGTCCGCTAGTGCTGTCTGACTAGAATGTCATTCTCTCGGCCGTACACACAGCGTTCGCATGCAGTTTGACTACGTGCCGCTTGAGGTTCTCTAATTGAGTGGCACTATACGAACAGTATCCACAGGGATAGGGTCTCTGTCCCGTGTGCACCCTGGTATGTCGTTTGAGGTTACCCTGGTACGGAGTTTGGTAGTTGCATTGGTTGCACTGGAAGAGGGCTGAAAAGCAATCACACGAGACCTTTAGAAAGTTCAAACACTACATTCGCTGCGACCGCAGATTCCATCGCCTGCATCCGGTCAGACGGAGAAAGGCGAAGCTTTATTACGCGAGTGAGTCCACATACACGCACATCAGCGAAGAGACGAACGGAAGGGGGGAAGAGGAATCAGGTTGTTCCCTGCGACCTTTCCCGGATTTCAGTGGACCTGAGGGATCGTGGATCGCGATTTCGCTCGAGCGACCGAAGTCTCGGGGAGGTTCTCGCAAGATATCGAGACTTTCATGGGGCAGAAATTCTAATGAGTTCAGGTAGGGGTAGCTGGCTCCTCCAAACGAGCACGTCGTCCAGGGGAACTTCTTCACCAAGATCCCTGGATTTTCTTCGAAGTTCTCGGCGCATCCCTCCAAAATTGGAATTTCGGATGCTCTTCGAGAGCTCACGCGCTTCACAGATCCCCAAGATCCCATAGAAACAGGTAACAGGTCTCAGAGACGACCCAAAACCGGAGAAAGGGAAAGAGAAAGAGTGCTTCAAAAACAAAGTGCCGAAGACTTGGGCGAATTCAATTTCGAAGATTGTGTGCGGAGTACATCTCTGAAAGAAAAATGTGTGTTAGTTACGGTTCATTCGCATACCGGGCATTCCACAAACATAATCATCATCCAGAGGTACATTCAAACTCTCGTTATACATACCGAAATTCGTGCATTCCATAAACGCCCAGAGCACATCGAACACAGGCACACATTCCACAGGACGACGAGCATCTACACTCGGGTGAGCGGGAAAAAATGAGAAGAGAGATTTCCTGACACAGTCAAGGTGTCGATACATCACTCAAGATTTTATTTATATACAACGTTCCGCTTCCGGCGAGGCGGCGATGAGAAAAGATGAGAACAATCGAACCGATGCTTCCCAAGGGCTACGGAGCCAAGAATAATTTACAGGAGTTCTACTCTTGAATAATTATCAATCCGCGAAATTCCTCTCGTTTTACGGGGTGTCAGCCGGACTTCTCGTTTTCGTTCTCGCCGATGGAATATCTTCATGCGGGAACAAGTCCCCCCATTCCGCTCGTCTCGCGGCGCTGTAGACTTCTTTATCGTGTTTGCGTTTCGTGAAGATTTTCTCTTCGACTTGACCCTTTGACGTACACAGCCGACACGTGACGTGTCTGGTCCTCGGTAAGACGTTTTCGATTATTCGCGCCGCAGGTTCGCATTTGGGGCGAACTTTGCTCAATACGACATACGAGTATGAACACCGACCCACATGGCTGCTCTCGAACGAGGCATACTTCACGGGGAACGAGCATGGCAACTTGCTCATTTCCGAGTGGGAACGCTGGCAGGGCAAATTGTGCGTACAGGGCGCCAAGACATAAGAACGAGCTTGATTGGCGTGATTCGAGATCTCCAGGATGAACTTCCTCGCTTCGCTCACCAGCTTGAAGCCCGTGTGGTTTCCGTTTTCGAGGATTATAAGATGGCGTTGAGTTTTCTCCCAGAGGGTTTCGATTGTGGCAAGTCTCTCCCGCTGGTTCGGGAGCTCTAGCAGGGAGAACGCCGAAACCGCTACGTCGTACTTCGTATTTACACTGGCAGGCAGTTTGGCACGTTGTGCGTAAACTTCAAAAGATACCGAACCATGGGGATCTCCACCTGCGACTAACTGTCTCGCAAGATCGCGCATGGGTCTCTGGATATCGACACTGAGATACTCGTTGAAGGAGGCGTTGTACAGATCTCTCATCACCCACCATACGGTCCCGATACCGGAGCCGAAATCAAGGCAGGTCTGTGGTGCGAACAACGGATCGATGATGCATATTTCTCGGAAAACATTCCGGAGAGCTGCGAATTCATAAGGGAAACGACCCAGCAAATAACATAAACTTCCGTAGTCATCGTAGTTGACCGGTGTCCAGTGATATGTGGTCTTCCGCAGTTTATTCACAATGGCCTCCTTAATCTGCAAGAATTCATTGATCGCTTCGATTAGTATTTCTCTCTCGTTGCGTAATGCTTTCAGGGATCTCGGGGTGACCTGTCTCTGCTGATGCTATACTCGGGCGTTCCGTGCCCGGATCCCGGCGGAACGAATGATATACACACATCGAGTCGATGGGCACAGCTGGCCCACGGATTTCACCGAAATCGTCTTGAACAGCTCAGAGAGTAGGCCTCGTAACCAAGACAACTGTAGGTCTGTGAACCGACGTCGATGTTGCGTGATCCCTCAACAGGGATCCACGGCGCTATAGATCACTTCCGACGTCAGAGACAGAATCGGGGAATGGATGAATACGCCTCAATCAAAGTCCCGTGAGAAGATCACCGACACATACGACACGGAAGTCCGTGCCGAGTCTTACGGGAGTCCGGCAATATTCCGCCTCGTGGCCCCTGAATTTTATGGAATACCCTCTTCCCGAACGGCTCATGCCAGACCACTCATGACCATCCCGGTCTCTCTTCAATGTCGAATTTTCCCTCGCGAAGCGAGTCAATATGACATCCGATTCGAACGTCGTTCCACTAAGGCCTCCTTCTGACAAATTCCGCTGTCGCGTTCCTCCTGGGTGCCACGCTCGTTCCGCTAAGATTCTCACCTGCGGTTCGACTAATTCCCGCTGCTCACTGTCGAGTCGCGACAGTCGATCGCCGAACATTTGCCATTGCAAATTGCCCGCCCGCTCCTGAATTTCGCGGGTTTCGATTGGCTCACGTCTCGACCAAAGTTGTCGATGAAGTAATTGTCCATCGGCCTGTAGTTTATCCAAATCGCGGTCAGCGAGAACATTCTCTGTGAACAAAGGGAATCGGTTACAGCCGACCGGAGACACTAGTGGATTATGATCTGCGATGATTCTTCCAGAGGAATATTGAACCTGAGCATTCCTCCGGAGACCAGAGAGCACAGGATAACTTGTAGATATCATATCTAAATATCTCAGGTCTAAGGAAGACTTCTCCGAGGAACTTTTTTTCCCGAATTCCCATGCTCTGCGCGCCGACTATTGAATCCTTCAACTTAGCATGAGTTTCCTACCCACGAGCCGTCGCGCGTCGGCCGTAGATTTCGATGTTTTCTCATCCTATGGAATGAGACGACGTTCTTTTCCTACGCTGTACCGTCATACTTCCGAGGAACCGCCCGGAGGTGCGGCATATGTGTGATGATAACAGATTCAAGGAGTCTTCGGCCGATATTTAGTAAATACTTGTCTAGCTGAATCCGACTTGGAACTTGCTCGAATTTGGAGAACTGAGTGATTATTGGCCGACCGGTGACGCAACAGACAATGGTTGGTCAAATGTCAACGACTTGTAAGGCAATCGCGCCGAGCAACGGAACGCAGAGGAAGCTCGATAGAACTCAAGCGACATCAAAATGTCGAGCTCAACAAAAGTTCCATCGCCTATCCGAGAGATCTTCGAGAGGATCCCTGTGCGCTGTCGGAGACCGGATGTCGAGGCTAACTTCGAAACAATTCCCCATTTTCCACTCCGTCTCCCGCTACGAGTTTGAATGAGAAACCAACTCAGAGTCGTGTGGCGGCTGGGGGAAAATCGGCCGACGAGGAGCACGTCATGGGCTCGTTGCTCCGGAGGGAGTCGCTAACATATTAGGAACTCATCATATTTTCTTCCCGGGTGGACATTATCCAGCCGCCGCGGGATTCCGCGCCGCATCTATCGATGCGGAGAATCCTCTCCTACAAAAAGGGGCAGATCAGAGGATCACCCTGGGCAGGGATGGCGGCTCCGTTGCATAGAAATCAGAATATCGTCCTAACCCACAGGTGTCATGAGCCTACAAGGAATTCAATAATCCCGGGAATCTTTTTTTTTGTGGATTACGACATTGATGGAAAATCGGGCGGGTGAGTGACTCGAACGCCGGCAGTCTGACTGGAGCGGACGCAAGCTGAGAGCGTAACGCCGCGAAACAAACGCCGAGCTGAGGAGAACAATACATATATTTGTCAAAATGGGTCAACGTCAGGGTAGGTTCGTGTTGGTGCGCCTGCAACCGTAAGTTCCGTGGCGTGCCATGTAGACAACATGGGCCGCTACCGCTCAGAGAAGCAGCCAGTGAGCCACAGCATCACGGATCACGCGATCAGAAGAGCCAGCTAGCCTGCCCGCCCGCCTGCCTGCCTACCTGGCTGCCTGACTGCGTTCCTACCGACCAACAACCAGCCCGGCAGCCTCTCGGGCTGCCATCCAGCCAGAAGTCTTGTTACCACCGCCTACCATGTCGTGGCAGCTCCGGTTATCTACTGCCGCGCTGCCTTTGATGATTCAGCCTGAAGAATGGGACTTCTTAATCCAGCGTTGATACAGTCAACGTTTGCCCCAAGCTTCGACTCGATCCCAACTCAATCCAATCACAACGAGACAGAATTAAGTCCGCGGACGCGACGAAAAAAAAACAGCTCAACTCGATTTCCGAACGAGAAGAAACGACTTTGATACGCGACCGCTCTCGACCACAGGTGGTGGCCTAGCCACAATGGCCTCAACGTCTGTGGAGTTCGGGCTGCTAAGGGAAGAGCGAAAAATGAAATGATCGTATACAGGTGTTCGTCGGGAGCGACCTCCGGCGAACTTCAGCGCCTGTCCGAGACGAAGAATTGAACCTATTCAGTGTCGTTACTCGCGGCGGCAATTCAACCGCGTCAAAATCGAAACGATCCACGGAGCTCCTCTCGACTCGAATAATTCGAGTCGGACAGATATCTCGAATTCTGGAGACGTCAATCGAGATGATTTGGAAAAGCTGCGATATCTCGCTCTGCGCGGAATCGCATAATTAACGCATCCGGAGTGCAAGCGTAGATATAGAGTTGCGTATTCGACTACGAGAAGCCAAGAAACTACGAACATATCGGAACGCTGCTCCGGACCCAACATTCTGGCAGCTCGTGACGGTCGGAATATAAATTCGGGTGATCAATAGGAGTGATGTGGACGACTGATTCAATGTTGGCGTCGGAGAAGTTTCACATGACCGATCGCCGCGCTGTTTTTCGCCGCCCAGAATAATTATCGGAATTGGGAAATTACGTTTCCAATCTCAATCGTGAGTAACGACAGTTATGAGCGGAGGATATAACATACAGGTCTCGAAATTCACTTGAATCGAGCGTGTAGGTGCTCCGTCGGTCGAGGCCAACTTTTACTCGGAGGACTGGCAGATGTTCACCGAAGACTCACAGACAGCACCACGAAGAAACGTCCAATCGAATTCCGGAGAATGTCACAAACTAAACGCTGGTTGGGATACGACACAGAACGTGGCGCAGAGACCGGGAAAGCACTCTTCACTATGGATCTAGGAGGATCTAGCGGCAAGTCACTGCCAGCAACGTTCTCTTCAGAGTAGAGAGGAGGTTGCTGGCCGAGCCTGCGAAGCATAATCTTCTGACACAGCTGGTGTCGCATGACGTTGATCTCTCCGTGAAACTCACCTACGGCCTTCACGAGCTCCGGTGGTAACGGCACCAAGCGATTTGCTTTTCTCCGATACTCCGGATTCTGAGGTGCGGGTTCGCTACACAACCCCCGGAAAACCGAGGCTGAAGATCTCCGCAGCAGGATGCGCGAACACAGCGCATACATCGAGCCAGAGATCTGGGGTCTCTGGGGGAAAAGATCGCGGATACTTGATCACGCGCACACTCCTCCTATCGTCAACAGTGTCTTCAGCTGATCACACCCCCATTCCGAAACGACTGGACCGGCTCGACTCATCCGCCCTTTAAGAAATCTTCGTCACTTCCGAACGTGATCCCGCACGAACCGTGACCCGTACCCGGTCGGATTCCCACTGACGTTGAACGGCGGGGGATTCCGCGCATCCGATGCCCACAGGTTTGGCCGTGGGAGCGGAGCAAGAGCTCGATTCACGTTCCGGATTAAACTTCGGAAGAGCATTGTGTTGTTGTTTTGGCAAGCACGTGCGTGCGCTCCCTCCTGCGTATTCGGAGAGTTCTAACGTTCGAAACCCGAGGACCTGTATCTTTCGCGAGTTTCTCTGAAGAATGATGACGCCTCGTCAAATTTAGTGATCAATCGAACTCGCTCTTCCCTAGGACGCCATGGTGAGTTACTCTCATCGATGAGCTCCGTTTTTATCGCCCAATCAGAATGCGCGAATACTCCATGGACCATGACGTCCCAATGGTATGTGTTCCCTGAGGGAAGAAGGGATCTTGACTTTCCTTTCATTTCGCTTTCCAGGCCTCGAGCAGTTGGCAGAACCTTGGGCTATCCGAAGGGACTTTGGACAAAGTCCAGGCTCTCGGATTCGAGTCTCCGACCCCTGTTCAGAGCGCTTGCATTCCGCTTCTGATGAAAAGGAAAGATGTTTCAGCCGAGGCTGCAACGGGGTCTGGCAAGACGCTGGCGTTCACTCTGCCGATTTGCGAAATCTTGACCAGCGACGCGGAGAAGCTCAAACCCCTAGCGGCTCTGATCGTCTCCCCCACCCGAGAATTGGCTCAACAAACCCATCAAGTGATCAAATCCTTGAAGTTCCCTCAGATACGATGTCAGCTCGTGACGGGGGGTCACAGCATTCAGAAGGATGTGGAGAAGTTCGAGAAGATGGGCGGGGCTCACATCGTGGTCGGAACACCGGGACGTTTGGCCGACGTTCTGAGTGCGAGGAACGCTAACAATAATTTGTGTCGCTATTCTCGGAACCTGGAGATACTCATTCTAGACGAAGCGGATCGTCTTCTGGAATTGGGCTTCGATCTGACTTTGGGCAACATCCTGGCCGTTTTACCCAAACAACGTCGAACGGCGCTGTTCTCTGCAACTCAGACTAAACAATTGGACGATCTCAAACGGGCTGGTCTCCGCAACCCCGTCACGGTATCTGTCAAGGAAAAACACAATCTCAAGACACCGATTCAACTGCAGAACTACGTCTGTCAAGTTGAGCCCGAGCAGAAACTGAACACCTTGATCGCGTTTCTCAAGCAGTACAGCGATCTGAAGGTGATGGTGTTCCTGAGCACCTGCGCCGCGGTTCAGTACTTCCACACGGTGATCAAAACCTTGATGCCGAAGCTCACAGTTTTCTGCCTTCACGGCAGAATGCGGAACAAGAGACAGAAGGTTTTCGCGAAATTTTCCGATGTCAGCAAGGGACTACTGTTGTGCACCGACGTGATGGCTCGAGGAGTCGACATTCCGAGAGTCGATTGGGTTATCCAGTACGACCCGCCATTGAGTGGCTCTGTTTTCGTTCATCGTTGCGGTCGAACTGCCAGAATGGGCAATGAGGGATCGGCTCTAGTTTTTCTAATGCCCAACGAAGTCTCTTATGCGAAGTTCTTGACCCTGAATCAGACAATCAAACTGGAGAACGTGGAACCGCCGGAGAATGTGGAGGACTTCACCGACACTATTAGGAGACTCGAAGCCGATAGTGAGACTATTTACATCGAAGCGATGCGAGCATTCGTCTCCTACATCCAGTCGTATCGGAAACACGAATGTAGTCTTCTCTTCCGGATCGAGGAGCTGGAGTTCGGACGGCTCGCCATGGGATACGCGTTGCTGAAAATGCCTTACATGCCGGAGTTGAAGAACAAGAAACTCAGCGGATTCAGACCACCGAATAATATCCGCAGCGAGCACCTGGAAGCTAAGCGCAACGCCAAGGACCTCGAGGGCGGCGGTAAGAAGAGGCGGAAGAAGAAGCGGAAAAACCCAGAAGGACTCCCCCAAGACATGAATCCTTCGGCGAAGCGACGTCTAAAAGCTAAGATACGAGTGGAAAAAGAAATGGATGAACTCTATGAAGACGAGAGACTGATAAAACGTGAGAAGCTCCACAAGATTTCGAAGGAAGAGTTCGAAGAGAGATTCCTCCCGAATGGCACTGTGTAAATAAAAGAAAAAGACAGAGCGAGCAGACTCCTTCAGACAGTTGTCCTTCTCTGAGGAATGTCTCTGTTTTCTCATTTCATCATGACGCTGCCTCCTTCTCATTTCTTAATGTTTCCAGCTTCAAAATACGTCGCATAACAAACTTCCGAAGAACGTTTCGGTTTCCTTTATTATCACAAAGGTCCCAGTTTTTGAGACGGTCTTCTTCTTACAATAAATAATACGTGGAGAACTTTTAGTTATCGGCGACGGGTCACCGTATTTCATCACAAATTGAACATCTCTATCTATTCCAAATCCTAGTCAATTGCTCCGGCTCCACGATTTCTCTACAAGAAGCGCAGGATCTGTTCATATGAGCCCATCTCGCAATACAATCCCAGCAGAATACATGCCCGCATCTCGTTATTGTACAGTTTATCGCGAAGTCATTGCACATGGCGCAGATCAACTGCGATTTGTCACCTTCTTTAGTGAGCTCGCTCCTGATGCTTTTCTTCTCCGCCGCCTTCTGCAGTATTTCCTTGATCATCTTCGCAATGTACATGTACGCAATCGCTTTGAAAATCCAGCTGAGGTGGGACATATCGAGAAAGTTCCTGAACAGAGCGTACCGGCTCCGGGCCAGGCGCCGGCTGATGGATGAGTACTCCCCGAACAGATAGAAATGTATCAAGTGTAATCTCGTCGCGATGGATAGGAGGTCTTGGATGTCTGGGTCACTGACTTTCCAGGGTATGTGCTCCGCCAAGAGCAGCAGCCGTCGGAGGAAGGAAACCGGCGTTCCCTCGGGCGTGCACCTCACGATATGAACGAACTGCTCCCCGAGTGTTTGGAAATCGAACACTGTAGACAGCGCGTAGTACGCCAATGTACATCCACTGGTTATCTTCTGGTGGTAAGGCATGATACTCCGCGGTCCGAATACATTGCTCAGTCCTCCGAGCAGATCCTTGGTGTTGGACGCGATGTGTTGTTGATCTTTTTCAGCAGCTCGGAGGATTTCCGCTTGACCAGCCCAAGTAAGCTTCATCTTGGTTCCAGCGGTGAGCCCACGGGTATTTCGGAATCACAACCACATCCAGTCAAATTCCGGAAGTTCTCCGATCACTCGTTCTTTTCAGTGCACTGACTGAGCTGTAAACAGCCTGAGGTTGGAGGAGTATCAGGAATGGAGCAGCGTCGGAAGGGAGCAACCGGGAATACACTCCTTCGGATCAAAGGAAGATCGCTGGATCGGACGGAGACTTTCGTCCAGAGGACCGAGCTTACTGACTCAGTGTTGTTCTTGAGTGTCGGCTCAAAACAAAACACAAGCGGAAACCCGGAAAGTGAAAGAGCTGGCGATAGTGATCCGTGCGCGTTCTCTTGAAATTCCAAGACAATTGCGAAAGCGCGCTGCGTACGAAGAGGCATCGGAGGTTCCGGGAGTCTCTAGAGCCTCGATTGCCGCGACGATCTCAATTCTCAGGATGCGGGGTCTTCCCGATTGGTAAGTCTTCTCGACCTGCTGTGGGAGAAAGCGCTGTCAACAAAGATCACAGCCATCATCTCTCCATTCGCCGGTCAAGAGACCGCAGCGCCAGAGCGGGCGGAGAACGAACTAGAGTCTAAGACACAAGGTGCTTGTTGGACGAGCAGAAAAAAATAGAACACGTTGTAAGATATAGGGCTAGTTCTGACTTCTGATTGAAGCTCGTTGGCGGAGGGCTCTGAGGAGACAATACAATTCTCTGATTTGAATTGCCATGGCCGGAGGGGACGACGTCAAGGTATGTCAGTCGCTTTGAAGGTTTCCCCGCGAGCATGTATCGAACGGCGGTCCGGAATTAAATTCCCCAAAACGATCTGGGAAATATTTCCAAATCTTGCATGAGAAATTCCTCTTCCAATATAATCCTGCGTTGCGATGCGCCAATCCCCGGAAGCCTCTGTTTAGCTCAGGGGACGGGAAATCTCATTCTCACCGCATGTATTGACCGATCTTCGAAAATCGACCTGCATTCCCCTCGCATGAATACACCAGACCTGAGGCGTCTGAGTTTTTCGGCCCTGTTCAGAGCTTCGGGAGGGTAGTTGTAGTGTGTGGCAGGCGAATTTCTTCTCGGTCGTAAGTTCGGGATTTTTCAGACATGCTAACTTCGTTGGTGAGGGCAAATCTGTCCAAGTCCTCCTTTCGGACTAGAACCGATCTTGGGGTGTGGCGAAGCTCATCGAGAAAACTGTTTGCTATGCAGGAAGTTACCGCTAAGATGCACGACAGCGCCATTAAGGAGCCGAAATCGGGCGATCCCGCGAGAGTAGGGAAAAAGAAAGATGAAAAATTCATGTTGAAAACAGCTAAGGTGAGCAAAATAGAAGTTTTCCTTCAGCCCCGGATGATCTCCTATCTTCCCCGGGCTACAAGCGGGAAATCTCGACCGAAACTCGAGGGAGAAACTCACCTCATGAGCTACTCATGAAAAGATGAGAGATTTCCCCATCTCACCTCGAATTCCCTATCCGCTTCCAGGGTACCCGTGATCAGAACCCCGTGCAGATGGCCTTACGAGAACGCGTTTTCAACGTCATCAAGGAAAGCTTCGCGCGTCACGGAGCCGAACAGATCGACACTCCTGTATTCGAGCTGAAGCAAACTTTGACCGGGAAATATGGAGAGGATTCGAAACTCATATACGATCTCGCAGATCAAGGCGGGGAGATGTTGTCATTGAGGTAAACGTCGACAGAATATTTGAATTAAAAAAATGACCCGATCCTCCCGGAAGTACGGGATTCGCTCCTGAGACGTTCGAAGTCGTTCTCAATGATGATGGTGATACTTCGACCCTCCTTTCCTCGAGAATAAGAGTCGCCGCTATTCCCCCCAGGTACGACCTCACGGTTCCGTTCGCTCGCTACCTCGCGATGAATAAAATCACAAACATCAAGAGATATTCGATCGGCAAAGTCTATCGACGAGACAACCCCGCCATGACCCGAGGACGTTATCGTGAATTTTACCAGTGTGACTTCGATATCGCCGGCCAGTACGATCCCATGCTCCCCGACGCGGAGTGCGTCGTCATCGCTTGCGAAATCCTCAGCAAGCTCAACCTCGGCGAATTCCGAGTGAAAATCAACCATCGCGGAATATTGAATGGAATGTTCAAGGTTTGCGGCGTTCCTGACGAGAAATTCAAAGAGATCTGCTCGGCCGTCGACAAACTCGACAAATCGCCCTGGGAGGAAGTGAAGAAGGAAATGTGTGAAGTCAAAGGTCTGTCCGAGGAGGCGGCGGACAAGATCGAAGCGTTCGTCAAGTTTAATGGAGGCCCGGAGCTCATCGAACAGTTACTGGAACAGGATATCGGCAAGAATGAGAGCGCGAAAAAAGGACTCGACGATCTGAAACTGTTCTACGACTACGCCACTGAATACGGTGTCGAAAAACACATTCTCTTCGACCTCAGTCTCGCTCGAGGGCTCGATTACTACACGGGAATAATCTACGAAGTCCAGCTGGTGGGAGAAGGCGAGGAGGGCGTGGGCTCGATTGCTGCCGGTGGCCGCTACGATGGACTCGTGGGGATTTTCGACGCGAAAAAGCGTTCGACGCCTTGCGTAGGCATCTCATTGGGAGTGGAGAGAATTTTCACGCTCCTAGAAAACCAATTGGCAGAGTCGAAAGCTCAACCTCGTAGTGTCCAGACTGAAGTATTCGTCTGCTCGGTGCAGAAAGATCTCGTCAAGGAACGAATGAGAATCTGTGCGGAGCTGTGGCGGGAAGGACTCAAGGCTGAGCATTCATTTAAAAATAATCCGAAGATTTTGGTTCAATTACAGTACTGTGAAGATAAACAGATTCCTCTTGCTATAGTTTTTGGAGAGAATGAGCTATCACAAGGTGTATTGAAATTAAGAAATGTCGCCACAAGAGAAGAAGTGGTTGTTCCTCGAGCTAATCTGGTGGAAGCGATTCGGGAGCGACTCGCGAACACAACCGTCTGAGATAGATCAATGTACCCGGTGATTTGACTTGGGTGTGATACGTTGAGGGTTCACAAGCTGGAAAGCGGCACTATGGTAAAAATAAAAACCAACATCACCGTGATCCATATCGTATTTTCTCACAGTCTTCCTTTCATCGGAGACACCATTGAATGGCGAATACTTCTCGTAGATCCCCCCCAGGGCGAGGCAACTCCAATTCGCCGTCATGGAGACCGAAAGATTAATCGAGCGGCTCCAAGTAGAGAAGAGGTCTGTAGGGGAGCTCCGGAATATGACAGCATGGATTTCTCCGAGGAATTCCGGAGGATTCGTTATCCCGTGCAGTCCTCGTCAAGAGATTTCGACGCCAGGAAAGAGGAGGATCCCGATTGTGGGGCTCTTGAGGAAATAAGCGAATTATCTGAGAAAGTGCGAGTCGCAGAATGCTCCGGGAGCCATTAAAAGTGATGAGACGTTCGGACTGCATTGAGTGCGGTGCCGAGGCACCGCCCTGGGCATCTTTCAGCCTCGTCGCGCCGACCTGGCGCTGATTTCCACAAGCAGAATACTCTCAGCGTCACTTAACCAGTTTTAACCAGTATGATGTCGTATCGGTGAAATGGTTGGAACGACAACTCTGTTAACGGCATTGACGTGAGCACGCAGTGACACCGGAGAAAAGATTAGTTTTGCTTTGCATATTTCAAAACATCTCTATCACGTAGAGATGTTCGACGCCGAATAGGATTCTAGGTAAAAATACTTCATCTGAGTATCAACACAAGTGCCCTCGATTTGAGCGGCGTGGCGAGCGTGGAAAGTTCGAAAAACGAAACTGACCGCGTGAGCGACCGGATAGTTCCGGGAGACCCGACTTCTACCGAGACGTCCTCCGAAGAATTGCAAGCGAGAACCTGAGTGAGGTTCTGCAACTTCCATCAAGAGATCGGCATGTCGCGTCTCTTCGCCTTGCTCACTGTGGTGGTATCATTGTGCTGTGAAATTCAGTCAAGTGGACTCTTCGGAGACTATCCAAGGAACGATCCATCGATCAAATATAATGATGCCTCCGATGCACCCGCCATAGTCCGTTGGTTGCTGTACCGAAGCTGCTTCTCCGATCCGGATCACCAGCCCAAGATCGTACAGTCCCCAGCGAGACTGATAGAATTCTTCAAAATCTCCAGCGAGTCGAACGCAGCGAAAATACTGCCAACAGTATGGACTCTTCTCGACATGAAGGAGGTTGGATCGGCAGACTTCAGTGTGTGTGGCGAGAATTCCCAAGACCTTCACGCGGAGCTCCTGGGGGCGGAGCATGAAGATGAGTCAGGACTTGAAGCTGATATCGGGACAGAGTCCGAAAACGAGCCCAAGACCAAGTGTATACAAACTGTGAATATTAGTCGCGAGCAGGAAAGGAAACTGCGAGACCTCTTCAATTGCTAAGCCCAAGCGAGTCGACCTCTGATGCCAATACTCGAAGATCCTCAAGCGTTCCCGTGGATAGTATAATTGCAATAAATATCGTCAAGTGTGGATATGACCTTAGTCGGACAGATCTTCCGCCCTGTGCTTTCGTTTGAGTCAAGATCTTCCACTCTGACCTATGCATGAACTTAGGATCCGATTCATTGTCGATACTTTATTCATTCCACCATATTCGCGAGCCATTGGAGCATTATGGAGCTCTGGGACTACCAAAAAAAAATCGGGAGTAGCGACGGTTCACCAGGATTCACGAGAGAACGGTCCCTTCCGGTCGAGCTCTGCCGTAGTGAGCTTCATCTCAGTTCATGCGATGAAAGAGATTTTCATCTCAGGCGGGGCAGAGCCTCGGTACTGACGAGTCGGGAGCCCAACAAAGCGGGAGTTCGCCTTCACTGATCTTGCACTTGAACTTCAGATGCGGGGCGAACTTATCGGAGACGAGAGCCAATCGGCTCACTCCTCTACTGATGTTGACAAGCTTCAGCTGCTGTGGTAAACTTGCGGGAGCATCCAGACACTCCACATCGAAAACCTTACAGACTTTGAATACGACCTCGCTTCTAGCGACGTCGACATTGATCGCAAAATCCAGAGGTTCTCCCTCCATCACGGAGTCCTGGAAAGCGATTCCTCCCGCCGCGCTCTGTGACTGTGTTTCTTCTTCCAAGAAGTCGAAGAACTGCGGTCTGGGAGATTAAGAACGAAGAGTAGCTTTTAAAGGAACCTGTGAATCTGTATGTTCCTGACTAGCGATGATTCCACTCACGTTGTTGTGCAAGGCAGCAGGAGCGTTTTGACGAAAACCGTGGAGCGATTGAAGTCAACTGTCATCATCATTGCAGGAACGGTGAAACACAACACGAGTGTGGCATTGCCCCCGTCCAATTGTTCCACGTGCTCTATCCGAGGGTGGAGCGCGATCACCACGTTCCCTCGGGATGAGAACTGACTTTCAGCTTCGACCAGCGCCGTAAGATTCGTCATCAGAGCATAGTAGCCCCGAACCTTGGGCGGCTGATACTCGTCTTCGAAATGGCTGCACCAATCATCTTTCTCTAATAACCGGAGCGCACGACCCACCCCCGATTTAGCTCCGACCCCCGCATGCCTTCCCTCCAGAACCCCAACCCCTCCCGATAGAACGAAAATGGTTGCAACCATGCAAAGCAATGCAACTGGATCTGCAAATAAACAGCCTGACTCCCTTCCTTTCCTCCTCGTCGGCGCAGCACGTCCGAATTTTCTCGATTTTGTCTTTCGGACCGCAGAGGGTTGTCCTAGAGCTGAAAATCCCAACGTAGGTCCAGGTGCCGCGTGGAGGTCGATGGATGTCTCCTCCGCCTTGTTCAACGATGCCCTATCAGTTGGCTGCGATCTGAAGAAGCTGGACAATGGTTTCCTCGACTTGCTCTTGCGAGCGGGGAGTGCGAACCCTGGCTCGCCGAAAGTTCTCTCGGAAACATCGTCTGTTTCCACGACCACCTCCGGCCGAGCATTCGCCATGTGTGCCAAGACTCCCACTGTCTGTCACCAACGGATTCCGATGAGTCTCGTTGCCGTCCGGCTGCCCATAAAGAAAATTGCTTCGTTCTCCCCCGCAGACAGCATCAACCCGAAAATTCAATGTCTCGGGCATTGTTTTCGGTAGCGAAGAATAGATTATCGAGGATCGAAAGTCGAAAGCATGGCTCGGCGACCTGAGAGCCGACAGCTGCTCTGGCGAAAATTGACCCTCCGTAGGAATGATGCCAACAGCCGCGCCAGAATAACCATACGAGCACTGCCTGCTCGGATGGAAAGAGATTCCCAATGGAGAAATTCGGTCGAGCCTGCGCAATGAAGACCACCTCTCAAGCTATATCCAAAAGTATTGTGCGTGTCCTCGATTATTGCATCTGATGTTGAGCTTATCCATAGCCGTGTCGAAGGTCAGTATATAGCTCGTCCGATTGTATCTTCCATCAGCTTTGTCCTTGGTTTCTCGGATGAAATCGCAAACGTCGGTTGTCCGCTCCGAGCTTATGCCTTTGACGGCGGACTCGACGTCCTCGCAGAACGAACCTTGGAAATCGCAGTTCGAGTTACATCTGGTCACCATGTCCAAGTAGTAGATGTAACCCCGTTGATGCGAGCAGAAGAAGTAATTATTTTCTGGAACAGAAAATCGTCTCAAGTTAACGAGGGACTGGTATATTCATGCGGTTATTTACCCGTCGAACCCGGGTATCGAATTGATGCGCCGGAATCGTCGAGATGAGCTCACTTCTGCACGCCGGCTGATATATGGTGCCGCGGTTGGGGTAGAGGTTCACGTCCGCGAAAGCGGCGTACACGCCCACGGCGCCTTCGAGTACTCTGAGGATATTCGTGGTGGAAGACGTGTGCACGGCTTCCATGAAATGCACATGACGCCTGTCGGGTTCTATCCCTTTCCAGCTGAACAGTGGCGATGCTGCATCCATGGCTGCGGCAATAACAGTTCACTCATGCAGTGCTCGACCTAATCTTTAGTTTCTCATCGGCATTCTCATTTTCCTCGACGGAGAGTCTCCAGCATAGAACAGTTTCAGCTCACCCGTGCCGGCGCCGATTCGGATGTCGAAGCTCTTGAACAGGTGCGACACTGTCTGCCCCATGACCTGCGCGCCCAACGAGTGTCCGAGTACGTGCACCGATTTCTCGGTGATGTTGTACTTTGACATGAGGCGTTGGATGAAAGTGGCCAGGACTCTACCGACCATCAGGGCGTTGTTCGATGCTTGGAAGTAACGGCTGAGGTAGTACCATGCCTGATCGTAGAAGGAACCGTCCCTCCAATCGACGAGTATGATCTTTAACTGCAAATCAGCGCTGCTTCGAAGAGAAATTAACTTCATCCTCCGCTAAGTCGCGATTCGGATAATTTGACCAACAGGCGACAGGATCCTCATCCTTCTCGGCCGTGCATTCGAAGCCAGGGCGGCCTTTGGGTCCGGGAGGGGAACCCGCCGCGACCGGGATCGGGACGCACGGGGTCATGCTGAGGAGAAATCGCTCTGAACTCACGCCAGGGTCCTTCTTCAGAAAAACTCCTTTCATTTGGTCGATCCAAGGTTCCTGGCTGGACTCCGTGTAGCCATGGATGATGAACTTCAGCTTATCGTGGCTTTCGAAGAGCTCGTCGCTGCTGTTCAAGCTAGCATTCCATGCGATCACCCGAAGCGGCTTGTCAATATTTTTCTGGGAAACAGTTGACGCTCGGAGAGGAATTCCGCATGACTCTGGTATTCAGCCACTTCCCCCGAAGATTTCGTCATACGCGGCACTCACCCGATCGTGAACGTAAAAGTTAACGTTGATCTTGAGAGGATCCCATGGCTCGAAACCGTACATTCCAGAGACACAACCAACCGGCATGACGTCTCCATCCTCTGCTACGTACGAAGGACAAGCATTGAAACTCGAAATGAGAAAACTCAGAAGAATCCAGCGGTGCATCGCGGAGCGCGATCTGATCAGGAATTGAGCTCAGCGGAGCTTCTCGACAGTGTTGATCGTCCGTGCCCCCGCCAAGCGATGATGGTACCTGTAACATATTTTTAGTTTTTTATCCCCGATTTCTTCTCAATCACAAATTCCAAACCTGACGAGCAACACCTAAGTCAATCGTTCAGCTATGACATAACTTATGACACTACGAAATTGCAGAGATTGATTCATTCGGCAACTTCTTTTTATTTCCAAATGCTGGAAAGCCACAGCAGGCATCCGGGAGGCCAGATATTGAGTTCTCCACTGCGCCTCCCATCCACCTGACACTCGGTAAAGAACTTTACTGGCTCCGTCGTCCGGATCGCTCCGTGAGGATCTCTCTCGATATTTATCACCCTGTCTATCATCATTAATAATACGAGACACAAGAAATGCCGTGATGACTTCTTGGTATCTATGGTGGTATGTGTCGCTCTGATGCCATCGAGCTGACATCAGAGCTACTAAGGACCTCCTCTTTCGCTAGCTGAAGGTCAGAACGAGCCTCCGGGTTTTTCAGCGAGAGAAAATTTCTCTCTTGGGATCAAGGTCGTTCTGCTCACCGAGCTACCGAAAACGGTATAGAGGAGATGGCACGAACATTCTCACCGATTCCAGCGGAAAGTATTTCCATCACTCCCCAGGTGATTCCGAGAACCGGGGTCGGGACTCCCGCGGCGTGATTGTTATCCGCGCAGCTTCCCCCACGACGGAGAGTAGGTGCGATGCTCGATAACGATCTCGTCGCTGAATCCGAAGGGTTCGTTCCGGAACGGTAAATTCCGAGAGAGACAGCGTTCATGTGGAATCAATGGCAACTCTCCGCCTCAACTCAAGGATATGGCAGTTGGAGAACACATCTGTTCATGCTGGACTCGAAAAGTCGTAATTGCAGTAAACTGTCCCCAACGTCGGTCCATAGACCCTTCCGGAGCAGTAGTTCCATCGCGGAAAAACGTAATTCTCTACTACGCAAAAGCCAAAGTTCCTGCTTCTCGTAGCACTGGCGAGCGAGGCACGGAACGCTGAATGACACGGTGAAATTCGCCTATCGGGACCACTGCGTGATCGGACCCTCCGCTTATTCGGAATGGGATCCGGGTCCCGGATAAGGTTTCCCAGTCGAAATCACTTGGTATAGGCGGACCGAGCGCTGATTGGGACCAGTATGGCTCGGTCCCGACGTAGTCCCTCCAAGCGGAGTCCCCTGTATTTCCTTTCTCGGCTACCCTCGATGTGAGCTTTTCCCGGATCTCTGCCGGAAGTTCAACCGGATCCGAACCGTCCGGATGGCGATCAGCGCGCTCCCGGCTGTTCTCAATAGAGAGGAAATTCTATCCATCTCTCCTATAGGACCCGTCCGCCGAGAAATTCCATCTCAGCGTCTCTTCCAATCCCTAACAACGAGAACCACGGAATTCGTAAACTGATTCTGTCGAACGGTAATTAATTCATCCTGAATGCTCCGGAGCCGAACTCCGTTCGAAGAACTAGTTATCGCGAGATTATCCACCTGGTCGAATAAGGATCACGGTTCGGAGCGAGAGATGTCGTAATCGAGTCTTATTTTTTTCGCTTGGAATTATTCACCAGAATCGGAAAATCAGTAGAGTTGCGATATGAGAGGACAAGTCCTGTTTTGTGCGCTTTGACGGCTTTTACGGAGTTTTCTCGGAAATGTCCGCTTTCCGCAATTTTCGAGGAAATACCGCTGAATTAGATGAAAAAGATTGAACTTCTGCGGTATTTTTTCGCCGAGGGCACCGAGGTCTCGGCTGCACAAGCGTGAGCCAGAGGCCCCAGGGGCTGGGTAGAAAATACTCTTCTCAGCAAATTGTCTGTGAACGATCCTTAGGGCATCGGAGTTCAGTCGATTATTGCTTATTAGGAAAATTGTTGGAGAGTCGAATCAATTCCATGGAGAGGGCCAAAAACATGGAATAGAGTGTCCGCTTTCGATGACCGCTCTCCGTCCCGATGTCCGTGCGGACGTTTTCCTTTTTTCGGGAAAGAAATGTCCTCTCACATCGCAACTGTAATAATCAGGGATGAACTTGCCTTCAGAGCCTCTCGTCTTACCTGTGTCCTGTGATAAGTATCTTCCGCTGAGAAATTGCGTCGGCGAAACAGGCAACGGCCTCGGGGACTATCTGTTCCAGGGCGAGCGCCCGGAACTAGAAAGCAACGCCATGTGTGCCGTGATCAGGCTCGATTGAATATCGAACATTTACTCATCTGAGTTTTTGGAGTGGGCGCCCATATCTGTCAAGATGTCATCTATCTGTCGAAAGCCTTGTGATCGGAACCAAGTAGAACTGAGAACTCGAAAATTCGGACAGGTCCAGTCTTGAGATGGTCTTCTAGAGTTTTAGGAGGCGGGGAATTTCAGTCGTCGTGAAATTCTACTTTTCGAAGCTCGTCGAGATGACTCGAGAGGTAGGAGACTTAATCGCCTTCCTCTCCGTCGATTCGGTGCAGCTCCGATTTATCCGACGGAGAATCTCCAGATTGCATGATCTCTCCTTTCCCGACGATAAGGAAACTAATCCGGTCCGTCATTTGCCTGTCAGCTCCGAGCGTCAGAGCTGGTGTCCCACTAAGTTGTGTTGACATCAGCGGTGACGAGTTCAAGCTCGCAGCAGCGACTAGTCGACAGATGGCATGCACAGGTATCGGTGTCGACGGCGGCCATTCACGATTCTCAAAGTCTCAATGGAAACTCTCTAGGAATGCATGGACATAGCTAGTATCTATTGGCTAGGTTTTATCGATGTTTTCTATCGATGAGACGCACAATGAATCTGTTCCGGCGGTTTATGGAGGAGAGAAGCGTCATTGGGAGGAACCTAGGATAGAAATCTCGGTTTTGCACATAATCTTTACTAATTAATTTTCATCTCCGTGGGAGGTCGTGATCACATGGGAATGATCTGAGAGGCATTCGAGCGAGCGACAAGGAAACATGTGAAGTCGACAAGTTACGAGATGGATCCGCTTCCCCGTAGAGATATCCGACACTGGGTCCCAATCGCCGATTCTCGCAGAGAAACGCTGGCTGGCGCCGTCTCTGGCGACATCGCGAGCTGTTGTTGGCGACGTCTCTCCATATGATTCGAGTACCTGCCTCGTCGCGCTGACTCTACCCTGCATTTGACTGTCTGGTGGGACAGCTACAAGACGGATCGTTTACGACGTATCACTTCTCAGAGAATCGTCACATCGAGATCGATTCCAACTCTGCTCTTCTTCGCCCCCCAGATTCCTTGGTCCCAATCGCGTTCTCTCCCGATCCATGATAGATCCCACCGAGAGATTTCGTTCCGATATTTCGTGAACGATCTTGTGCCCTCTGATCGGTGAGAAGATGCCCAATCGCCTTGCACTTGATGACCCGTCTGGCCCTCGTTGCGAGGTGCAAAAGGGCCGTAGCTGAGAGGATGTCATTCAGAGTGATGGGCTTTCGTTCCCACCTAGATTTATTCCGCCAGGCCACGTGTATCCGCCAAGGCCCTCCATCCTTTTAGGCACCGGACATTTGAGCTCTCCGATCCGAGCGTTGCTGGAATACAGATCGCAGGGCTGATCCCCTGACCCAGTCTCTAAGACACGGCCCGGAACGGTTGGTCCGCGCGTGCAGAAAATGCGGCCGTCGACTGTGTATTTGTCATCGTACTGAACCCAGAAACTCACGAGGCGAATTCGTTCGCGTCATTCTGTCGCATATCCCATAATCTGTGAACTTGGATTTTCTAGCACAGATCATTTTTTGCCCCCTCACTCCATAAGCACCGAAAGATCGTCGGAGACATCGGGGAGTCTCTCGTGACCGATAGCGTCGAAGAAAGAGAGGCCGATCAAGTCAGTCACCATATTCGGATCATACACTTTATATACACTTCATTCAGTATGTACACTAAGTGGGAACGAAGAAGAACAATTCGATCAACATCCGTCAACCTTGGGAAATTCATTCGTCGTCGCTCGACGACGATCCTCTCAAGCGTCTCCGAGGTAGATCTTTTTTGTAGCGATTTTTCCTCCCGCAGAATACCGGAGTGAAAGTCAAGGTACTCTCCCGGAGCATCGTGGGGGAGATACAGTTCCTCCCCCGAGGTTCCGTTCTTGGAATTTCTTGAAGGCGGCGTATTCGGCGACATCGATCGCATCCGAGCTGACAAGGCGAGTTCTGTGAGAGAGAGGGAGAGATAATTTCTTGATTCGGGTCACGGAGTCCTGAGCCCCATTCGCTATTCAAATGGCCAGAACAAAATTTCAATGAAAGCCTATGTAGGCATGTAGATCGCGACATCTACCTGCTGACGCTGCTTCAGAGTTTCGCGGGCAACCTCTGATTGCCTGAGGAGCATCTGGGTAGAATTCAGCTCAAGCCGGGCTTCGGAAAGTTTTTCCTCAAGGTCTCGGAACCTCCCCTCGGATTCTTGCAACACGATTTCTCTCTGGTCCAGCAGCTGCATTTGATGGACCACGGTCTCTCGGAGCCGTTGGATCTCTGCTTGCGATTGGCTGACGTCGTCCTCGAGCGATCCCTCGCTGCACGCATGGGTCTCGTTACCCGAATCCCCACTATTTGCACTGTTGTGCTCACCCCCCTGGATACTGGTGTGCGAGATTTGAGCCCCGTCCTGACAGGTTAGCTCCATTGATGAAGATTGCATTTTCCAGACGCCGCTGGCGCAGACCGTTTGTACCGGTACACGGATCCTTTCCTGAAGCAGGATTCTCAACTCTCGCTCGGAACGGAATTGTGCGACAAGCCTCTCATTGAGGTGAATCTGGGAAGAAATCAGGGAGCTCAACAACGGAAGTCTCCGCAACGAAATTTTGAATGCGAGCGCCGGGCCGCAAGGAATGCTGGGACTCCCATGCCGGGAGTTCCCGGACGGGAGACCTACCTGTTTTTGGAGTTTGTTTGATGCTTCGTTGTAATTTTGCTCCAGAGTCCGACAATGAGAGCAAGCCTCATCCTGGGGTGCGAACGAGGGAATATCCTCCCTCTCCAAGGGCGGGAATTCTTCCAAGTGACCGAAACGATTGCGGAACAGTTCGAGTTCAGGATAGAGTCTCTCGCGAATGAGGGCGGCCATCATTCGGCCTTGTTTCTGGGGGACAAAGTCAAGGTCTTCCGTCTATTGATCCTTTGCCTCCGATGTTGGGAGCAAGTTTCAGGAATGTCATCTTGCCTTGTATTTGGTGTTCTTTTCGGTGACCTCATCCAGCTCCTGCACTAGCTCGTCTTGTATGGATTTCCTCAAAACATCTTGCTCTTCCCGGAGCGCTTTCATCGCCGCGCGTTGCTCCTTCCGCTGGATCGCCATTTTATCCATGTACATCAGCTTCGTATTTTCCATTGACTCCTCAAGTGTTTGGATCCGTCGACGCAATTCCTCGTTCTCGATGGCCAACTTTTCCGCGCTTGAAATATTCGATGGAGGCTGAGTTTATGCCCAAGCTAGGCTTTGGGAAGAGTTACGATCCGGAAGCATATCTAGAGCCCCGAGCTGGGATCATACCGTTGAGATCGGCGGCACACTACGGCAGCGGAGAATATTCTGCCCCGATTTCAGTCATTTCATCTTACGTTCGTAGATCAGTCTGCATCTCGTTGTAAACGGTCAGCGGCAGCTCCATGACATCCGCTCTCGGAAGGGAAATTCTCGATGTCTGGCATTCCCCAGATTTTCTCCGAGTTTCTCGAATCCGTTTCACAATTTCTTGCGGATGTACTAACTCCGTAGCGGTGACTGCAAACTTGAGTTCGTACCGAAATTAGCTTCCAGGTCCCTCTCGACAATCCACGTATTCTCAACTACTAGTCATTGGGAATTTTCGCGTTCCACTCGGTGATTTCGTGTTCACCTTTATGGAACCAAGCGTGTCTGCGAGTCGATCATTTCTGGCGCTTATGCATACAATCAGAGCAACACGAGTCTGGGTCAAATTGAAGAAAGGACTCAAAAGTCTTGTGAGTTTGCTATCCCGGTACGGGATCGGCTGGTACCCTTTCCTCAGAGCGTCGATGCAACGTCTGAGCACGAGGAGCGAAGAGTTTATGAAGCCGGCTTGACGCAGAACAACACCCGAGCTCCCAGTCGCAGTTTGTCTCTCGGTACCTGTGAGAGTTGCTCGATTAAAATCGATCAATGGCGGGGATTCACAGGGGATTCGGGCACCGATACCATGAAAATGGCCAATGATTATAGGAATGAGCTGTTCTCGCACTGAAGCTAGTTCGGGGAGGGGCTGGTAGCTAACGCTACCTAGGTACCGTACGGTACCATCGCTGAGACGCGAGAGATTACCGAGCGAGATTGGGCTCAAGGAGGAACTTGCCAGCTAAATCGACGATGGCGACCTGGTTGACTCTGATCTGGCCCTTAACCTTGTGAATGATCTTCAGGAAAACAGCGAAGTGTGCTCGTGATGATGATTCGTTCAGTTTCGTGGACGCGACACTCTGGCGGCCCCTGGCTGTCTGCAGGACACGCAGAGCTTCCTTCTCAGATCGCAACTCTAGCCAGCTGGCGTCTCGCACAAAGCAACGACCCCGACTGTCCTGTAAAACCGAGTCGGGAATTGAAATATTCGGAGTGTTCAAAGATTCTTTCCTTATGCTCGACTGAGAGAAATATAGCTTGCCTGGGCAATGGTCAATGGTTTCATTTGCGACTCGTTCAGGAGATCCGTGAGTACTTCGTTGTAGATTTGAACGACCGATATCCAAATTCCGGAAGAGGCCGCCCCGGAGGTTGGGGCAGCATCACAGGACACGTCATCAAAGTTACGGGGCGTACACTTCAAACGAAATATAGCGGTGCTAAAACCCCTCCCAGCTCGAGGCTCGACCACTATGCAATGCCGAATCGTCGGCGTCGAAAACATCGCTGCAGACGAAAGCGGTCGAGAGCTCACCTTGGCGATATCTGTGCTGCTTTCAAGCTGGTTCAAGAAGAATCCAACAGTCATCTGAAGCAGGCCAGGTGAACCTTCACTGCCGCTGAGAGTATGTGTCTTCCCCGAACCAGATGCTCCATAAGCCATGACAAGAGCATTCGTGTTCTCCTTGAGAAGACTCTCGATATGCGGTAATGTCGATTTTCTGAAAACCCTCTCCTGGCTTGCATGTTCCGGAAAGACGAAATTGAATGTACCCAGACGATACGCGCTCTCGGGTTCACCTACGGACATAGGTGGGGATCAGTGCCGAGCGACCAGAGACTGCAAAGTTATGTTCCATGAGGAGGATCCGTCGATCTACGATGATCGAGTCCAATTGGGGAATCCACTCTGGTTGATCGAACCGGTGATTTTTATTCTTGTGTCGTCGATGACTTCGACAACTCTCTCAGTCTTCCCGGAGCTAGGGCATACACGGAGATACACCGGCACTCTGTCGTCCTTCAGCTGTTTCCTCTAGAAATCAATACCCAATCAGCACACTTCGTGTCCATGCTATTCGTTTCGGCTCGTCAATGAGTTTTGAGGGTGTTCGCGGGAGAATGAAAGACTCCCGCGTCCTTTGCGGTTACGGGAAACCTCATCCGAACGTGCGGCGATCTCCCTTCCGTTCACAGTCCGCTCAACCTGAGCCGATATGCGGACCTTGCAGAGAATACAAGCCGAGAGACTTGAATCAGAGCGAGGCGGCGTTACTAACCTCCTCGGAAGCCATCCTCCCACGACGAGGAGAATTCTGTCACCCGGTAGAACGAACCCAAGCCTCGCCGTCAGTGAAAGAGACGATCCGCTCTGTATTATCAGAAGGAGGAATTCACCCGTCAAACTCACAGCCAAATTTCGCGCGGGATAGTTGACGCATACCCACATCGCCTGAACGACCATTCGAAGCTGACGTGGTCCATGAACAAAATATTGCTTCAGTCCGAGAGAGCTAAACAACAATACCGGATCAAACGAACCCAGGTTGTGATTGCGGTGATGGACCTCGACTCCGAGCCACGAGAGTCTCCATCCGACGTTTGGCTGAAACTTCAGCCGAAGGTCTCCCAGCGGGCCGTTTGGAGGCGCGAGCTTCACGAACTATTCATCCTCTGAGTTCAATCTTCCAATCGTAGGACTCGATGGATGAATAGCGCCGAAAATACAGTACCCCAGCTTCCTTATCAGATCATCCGTCGTGAAATCTAGATAGATACAGATAAATGTGGATTCGTCCGAATTGTTCATGCAAGGATTCATGGACGATTATCGATCGATAATCCCCACACTCCCAGGCTCGACCGAGGAACGTTGACATTGTTGAGCATGCGACATCGGAGTATCTCCGCACCAATTTTATTTGTTGACCTTCCATTCCGTTTACTCTCCGAGCAGTACTAAAAGGGTTATGCGCTGTGATATTATCGCTTCTTATTCGGGTCGAACTTCACTTCCTTCTTGGCTTCCTCTAGAGGGAAATGGAGACCTTCTGGTCTACTCCATTCGGGAATTGGCTCGAAAACACCCGTACGCTCCCATTGGCGTCCCTGTTCCTGGGCCGGCGGAGGTTGCGCGTCTTTAGGGATAGGAGGCTGTGGAGGATGCTTTCCTCCCACGCGTCCCCCACTCGATGTGGGTTGTGCGGCTTCAGTCAAGTTAGGTAGTGGATGTTGTTGGAGCGCCCCGCGTCGCTCCCAACTTCTGCCGGATGTAGCCTTCGATATCGGTTCCGCGCCTTCAGGGATAGGGGGCTGAGGAGGATATTTTCCTCCCACGCGTCCCATACTCGATGTGGGTTGTGCGGCTTCAGCCAAGTTAGGTAGTGGATGTTGTTGGAGCGCCCCGCGTCGCTCCCAATTTCTGCCGGATGTAGCCTTCTTCGATATCGGCTCAGCGCCTTCAGGGATAGGGGGCTGAGGAGGATGTTTTCCTCCCACG